CTGCTGGTACTGGTTGTATTACTTTCTTGTAGATGTTTTTGTATTCCCAATGCAAATTTGGTAACCCGTTCATCTCCATCTAAGAGGCTGGTCCTAGCAAAGACAAAGGTCCCTCGTATAGTTACATGTCTGCCAAACATTGTTCCTGTTGGTGACAACCCTAGAGGTTGGAGAAGGGTCTTTCCAATATCGCAATATCCCATAGTACTATTCCTAAAACTTCAGGCCATTTTAAATCTATCTGACTACAAGTTTGAGTTATTTTATTTTTCTTTCAATTTTGTTGGAGCCTTTGGTAAGAGCAGTACAGTGTTCTACAGTGATTTCCTTTGGAAGCTTAATAGCTTCCGACAGCCTTGGGATTTCAGTTCCATTAGAAATACTTTTTTCCGCTGAGGTAAGGAACCCTTGTTCTTTCCATAGCATAGCCATTGCGTGACACACTCCAAAAGTGTTTTTAGAATCAGTTTAAGTAGTTACTTGCTGATTATGTCCCTACCAGGCTGCTCTTGCTAATGCAGTTAATTCAGGGCCTTGGGCACTCACTGAGGGTCGTAGAAGTTCTGCTTGAAGTACCTCTGAGTTTCTCACCACTGCATAGCCTGTGTGTCATTTTCCGTTTACATGGTATGAAGATCCATCGGTGAAAAGGGTTAGATCAGAGCTCTCTAGAGGCTGACCTCGCACATCTTCCTGTAGGTGGCTGGAGTGAAACACTACCTCAGCACAGTCACTATGTGGCTCACTGTCGGAGGGAACAAGCAGTAAAGTAGCTGGATTCAAAATGTTACATCTTTTTAAAATAATATCCACATTTAAAATCATTAATTCTTAATGATGTGCTCTTTGTTGGGACAATGTTTGTGTAGCATGCTGTTTAAGAATTGATTCTGCTTCATGCAGGACATACACAGTTGTTGGGTGACTCAGACACAGCCCATCCTTTTTATGGTAGTTGCTGTTCCTGCTCTCACTTTGACACGGGAGTTATTCCCTGCTGCTACAGGATCCCGTCGAGTTGAGCGATAAGCCGCAGGGCAGTGATGTGGACCAAGCTTTTGAGTAAGGACTCTGCTAGCTACTCCTTTGTTCTCATGCACAAATAGTTCAAAGCACTTGGAGTAGTCTGGCAATCCCAATGCCAGAGCAGAAGCTAAATCTCCTTTTATAGCTTGGAAAGCCCTTTCTCCCTCAGGCTCCACTTCTGCCTTGGCAGCTTCCGTCAATGGCTTACTTAGAATCGTAGAATCATTAGGTTGGAAAAGACCTCTAAGATCGAGTCCAACCGTCAATCCAACACCACCATGGCCACTAAAGCGTTCCAAAGTGCCACATGTACACATTTTTGAACACCTCCAGGGATGGTGACTCCACCGTTGCCCTGGGCGGCCTATTCCAATGCTTGACCAATACTTAACTCCCCTAGACTTGGTACCCAGGGTCTGCAGTATTCTACTGCTCCTAAAAATCCTCACAGTTTTTTCTTTGTTAGTCGTTGAGGTATTTCTACAATAGCCTGGACCCATTCTGGGTCTACTGATCTTTGTCCTTCTTTTAATATGAATCCTAAATACTTTACTTCCTACTGACACAGTGGAAGCTTAGAAAGAGGTGCACGGTGACCTTTTTTTTTTCTGCTAAAGCAGTATGTAGACAAATAGCATCTTTCAAGCAATCTTCATATGTCTTGCTGGCAAGTAACAAATCATTTACCTATTGTACAAGTACAGAACCTCCGGGTAATATAATATCTTTCAATTTTTCTCCCTGCCACCCCAGCATGTGATCCTTAAAATAGTTGCAGATATCAGAGGTGGCTTGGTCCACAAAGACACTTGCTGCCAATTCATTTTTAAGGTTCTGGAGCATCATTTCCCCCATATATCAACAAAGACTGTTGCAACCTTCCCTAGTAGCTGCTGGGGTGTTCCTTTGGTCTCTGTCTACATTCCTGTACTTCAGTTCAGTTTACTCTTATCTCCTCACAAGCTCTAATCTCATTTATCGGGTCTCCAACCACTGTTCGGTGATTAGCTCTATCTGTTTGATTATTACAATCCAAATCAGGATCAACCTGAGGCCAGGCAGTCCGATTTTCCTCTACCTGTAGGGTTAATACCACGCTCTTTTCAATTATCTTATGTTGCTCCTCTGGATGGAACAACTCTTTCAATAACAGGTTAACATGGCCCAAGATGGATTATATCCCGAAGAAATAATGGAAAGTAATGATGCATATTGACCTGCGTCTTCCCTTAACCTAGGCATTTGACTTCCCCACTTAACCAAATCCCTGGGGTTCCAGGGGTGATGGGTGTATACATGTAACACTGGAAGTAGGGGAGGAACATTTCACACCCCCACACCCCTGGCTACATTGTAAGAGGATTAGGGATAACAGTAGAATCCACAGGGTAAAGCCCAGCAGAAGCAATGGGGACAGGAGAGGCAACTCGGGGAGAAACAACAAGCAATGCAGAGGGATGAATATGGAGTGGTGCAGAGACCGGGTCTGCGGGCGCCTTGGTTAAATTACTTACAAATGCTGTAGCTAAAGTTCTTTCTTGAGCTTTTTGTACTCCTTTTCAACCATCCTCTTTATGGTGGTCGAATGCCCAATTATCCCATATGTACAATAGTCCATTTGCTGAGGCTTTTTGTTTTACAAAATTTTCTGGAATGTAGCCACGCTTTTAAATTCAAAGGATCCTTTGTGGGGCCATACCCCTGCTCCTCTTAAGTGCTGGCCAGTCTTCCTTACACAATGCTATTGCTCTTTTTTTTGATAGACCTGCAGTGCCATCTATTTTCCTCCAATTTTCTAGCACCTTGGCTGAGGGCATCCACTTCTCTATGCCAGGTGTGTTCCTCATATCTGTAAGCCAAATTCCTGTGCCTTACACTGATCAGGCTCTGCACACCTCTCCTAGCGCACTTCCAAGGTGGGACTCAAACCCACTTGGACCCAGAATACCTAGAATTTAGTAGTGGGATTTTAACACTCACCAATCGGTGCCTCCCATCCCCAGAGTTCCCAGGTGAACTCACCTGATGCTGGCAGTTGGATGCTTGGAGATGAGAGGGTCTGACAATGGTTGCTTAGAGTCCTGTCTGAGGTGCCAAACTGTTACGGAAATTGAGCGTGCTAGCCACCCTAATGGGGTTCAACTCCAGGTTTCCACTGAATCACTACACCAGCAGGAGATTCTTTTACAAAGTCATTTTTATTAATGACTGCAGGTCAAAGAGCTGGGTGCCTCCAAAGAGGGACCTCGAACAAAGAAATCCCTGGGCAATTATACCCTTACAATCTAAATTCATCACCCCTTGTGCAACAGTTCGGATCAGTAGTAATATTAGGGTCTGAGGTCTTCCCGTTCTTTGTTGGGTCCCTTCACTGTCTCGAGGTGGGATGTTTCTTTTCTTACCTCTAAGGTTGCAGCTTCTGTGGATGAGTGTAGATTCATTATCTTCTGGCTTGAACCGGCTCTGGGGCCTTCTTTTGCTTGACTAGGTAAAAGTTCAACACATTGAGGTGGAAGTTCACGGCTTGCAGCCTAAGGCTTCAGCAAATTTAGCTACTAGTGCTAAGCAAGTTATGCTAAACAAGTTCTATATAAGCAGTATACCAAATCACACATCAGAGGGACAGGCAGGTACATCCCAGGCTGTCCCCTGGGCTGGGATGAGCTGGGCTGGTGAGGCTGACGTCTCCCTGGTGACCTGCACCCACCGCTCTGTGCTTTGGGGATGGGGAGCTGTGGTGGGCACTGAGGAGGGGAGCAGCTCCCTTAAACAGTCTCTCTGCTTGCTTTGCAGGATTCGGGGCCAAACAAGGTAGGTGCCCTGGCTGGGCTGGGGAAGGGAGGGTTGTTTTTTAGCACAGTCAGGTGCGAGCACATTGCAGGGTGGTTTAGGGGTGAGGCTCTGCCCGGACCCAAGCCATGCTTCTCCTGGGGGCTGGCAGAGCCCTCAGCATCCTCATCACCCTCCTTACCCTGTGGCTCTCAGTACCTGGTGTTAAACATGCTCCCTGGCCCATGCAGGATGTTTCACAGGCAGGACCTGTGAAGCTGAGCAGGGTTGCCTGAGGTTGTCCTGGCCAAGCAGAGCCATCGTCCTCTGAGTCCCCGTGGCTGGGGACTGGCTGTCACCTCCCCTTTGAAGAGTGCAGGCAGCCTGACAGCCCTCTCCTGTGTTCTCCATCCCCCAGAACAAAAAGAAGAAGAAGACAGATTTCATCCCCTACCGGGACTCGGTGCTGACCTGGCTGCTGCGGGAGAACCTGGGTGAGGACACGGGTGGGAGGTATGGGCTTGGTGGTGTGTATGGATGCCGAGTGGAGGGTGATGGCTGGTGCGGGGATCAGCATCTCTTTTATGTGGCTGTATCTCTCCGGGCAGGGGGCAACTCCAGGACAGCCATGGTCGCTGCTCTCAGTCCTGCTGACATCAACTACGATGAGACCCTCAGCACCCTCAGGTAGGAAGAAGTACCCTCATTCCCCCACAGTGGGCAAGGGCTGGGGGGGTCTCTGAAACCCAGGCACTGCCATGTGCTTTCCTCACCTCTGTGGCAACCCTGGCTGGGGGGTGCTGTGGGGGGACCCTGCAGCCTTAGACAAAAGGCCAAAGGATTGTCCTGGCACTGGGATCCTCTAAAGGATCACTTGCTGGAGGGGCTCGGTAGCACTCCTGCTTGCCCAGCAGCTGGGGATTTGTCCCCTCCATTGCTGCTCAGGGCTCTGCCCTTCCCTAGATATGCTGACCGTGCCAAGCAGATCCGCTGCAATGCTGTCATCAATGAGGACCCCAACAACAAGCTCATCCGTGAACTGAAGGATGAGGTGGCACGCCTGCGCGACCTTCTCTATGCCCAGGGCCTCGGGGACATCATTGACAGTAGGTACCGCCTGGTGCTCTTGGGCAGTGGCTCCAGGCAGAGGTGGGCTGGAGTCCCCCACGTCTGCAGGGCTGGTGTCCCTGCAGCTGTCCTGTGTCCTGCTCTGCCTGCCTCGCGGCAGCATCACACTGCCAAAGCGTGGTTAGGATGCTTCCGGTGAGCCCTTGCGCACGCATTCACAACCCCCAGCCCACTCCCATAAGCAGGAGGAGATGCTTTACACCCAGCAGACCTGCCCATCGCCCCCTCCACCTCCTGTCTTCAGCATTCTGCACCTGACAGAGGTGTCAGGAAGATGTTCCCAGGGCTGCGCCTGCCCATGGCCTCTCCTCTGTGTGCGGTTGGATGTCCTACTGAGATGAACCCACTCTTGTTCTGTTCTCTCTGTCTCACCCCCGCTCCCTGCCCTCTCTCTCTCTCTCTTAGCCCATCCTGCTGCGGGAGGACCCAAATGTGTGTATTCCCCATCACTGGTACTATCTGTTGCTTCATGGCTTTTGGGAGGCATAGGCTGCACCTAGGGGCACCTGTGCAGCATGGGGAAGGGCTCCCATAGCCGGCCCCAGCTGATGGAGAGGTGCTTGCCCGCAGGCTGGCTGTCCCAGGAGAGCTGGCAAAGGGGACTGTGGCAGAGTCACAGTTAGCGTCTGGGCTTGGGATAGCACTCAAAGAGACTGGTGTCCTCCCCATTTGCTGTCCCACGGGGACTCCTTCCTCCATGCTGTCACAATGTTTCCTGTCGCTGCTGCTGCTTCTGCTGACACTGGGGCTTGTCGAGACTGGAGCCTGGCACAGTGCTTGGACGGGCTGGCACGGTGCTCTCCTGATGGAGGGGGGTGTGGTGACGGCCAGGGATTTTTTTGCCTGTGGATAAGCACTATTGTCCCATCTCGCCCTGGGCCAGGCAGCGCAGCCAGGCTGTGTCAAGTCTGCTGGGGAGATGGCGACCTGGCCCATCCCCTCCTGGCTCAGTTCTCCTGGGTGTGGGCTAATGGAGATGAGTGACTAACGCTGCACCTGCTAACCTGCCTCCAGCACAGTGTGCTGAGCCCCTGCGACTTCTCAGGGCTGGAGGAGCATCTCTGATACCTGGGTCGCTTTGCTGTGGGGTCCAGTGGCAGCTGATGCTCGCGTTGCCAGCAGGCAAGTGCTGCTGCCTATAATGGGTGTGTTGCCACCCTGCCCTCACTTTGCTCCCTCTCTGGCTCCCCACCAAGGTGCTGCTCCAGTGGGCCAAGGTCTTGGGCCCTGCAAGCAAGGGGATCCCATGGCTCCTTCTGCTCTGTCCCCCTAACCCATTTGTAGGGCGGAATGTTACTGCCTCTTCTCCCCTTCCCTTCTCATTCTGTGCCCCCAGCTCCAGCTAATCTGGGGCAGCTGGGCAGGGAAAATCACTTGGGCTGTGTTGGTGGGGAAGGATGACAGGGGCAGTGGCACGTTCCTGGGGAGGACAGTGATCGCAAACCTGATGGCTACAGGATCTGGTGTTGCAAAACAGCATCCCCAATAGCCCAGGAAGGCTCCAAGGCTGTTCCAGCAGCCACTTCCCAAAACAGCCCCATGCTCCTGGGGGGCTGCCTGGGCTGGGCGAGAGATGCATATGGCCTTGCCCTGCTGCTGCTTGTGCCACTGTGCTGTCGCCTGTGCCTTTTCCTTGTAATTCCTGGCTTTCTTCTTGACGCACCCAGCCACTCTCTTTTTTTTCCCAACAGCTTTTCTTGTCTCTATCTTTCTCTCTCTTTTTCTTTTCCTGTCCGTGTGTCTTTCCCTGGCCCATCCCTCCTTCCCTTGCCCATAGATGTGTCCGACTTTGAGAACAATAATGATGCTAGAGAGGCAGAGCTGAGTCACCGCCATGACAATCTCTCCACAGTGACCAACGCCATTGCTGGGATCAGCCCCTCTTCCTCCCTCTCAGCCTTGTCCAGCCGTGCCGCCTCCGTTGCCAGCCTCCACGAGCGCATCATGTTTGCTCCAGGCAGCGAAGAGGCAATTGAAAGGCTCAAGGTAAGAGGCTGGCATGCAGCAGGATGGAGGGCTCAGCTC